TGGGCGATGTTCTGTCGGAGTTCCGCAGGTGCTCTGGTTGGCTGAGTGGGTCTGTAGATGTGGGTCTTGGTGTATTTGTGGGAGAGGGTGGCTTACAAGCGTCCTTCTACTCCGCCATCTTGCCCGGAAGTCCTCTAAAATTTATTATTATTTGAGTGGAAGTACTGGGAATTGAACCTGGAGCCTTGTGCATGCTAAGCATGCACTCTACCACTGAGCTATACCCAACTCGTCTCCCTGACTTATTCTTTATTGGTTAATAGTCAAAATGTATGTGATTGTGATTGATAGTAGTGAATTTTATCATGCATTCCCAGAAGCTCATATTTTTTTAGAGCAGAAAGCATAATCATCTCCAAAAATAGCAAATCTTTCCCTATGAAGGTTTGTTGTTAATAAGAATGTCCAGTCATTTTGTGAAGATAACATTTCTGCCTCCCCTGCCTGGTCCCTGTCCTCTCTCCCCTCCAGCAGTCATGGATTTTTCACAGCAGTCATTGACTTGCATTAACATATCTACCTAATTTGAGCTGGCCTCCATCATGCTAGTGGTTTATGCCCAAGAATTTGCTGACTGAGTTTGTTGTGTGTTTTCCCTGTGCAAAGTTAAATGGCCCATTTGGCAAATGATTTTAGGATCCTGTCGTCTTTCTGAAACCCATATTTTTGTCAAATGAGCCAAGTGTTAAGTGCTTATAATGTAAAGTGAGTTGATAGAACAGAATTCTTGCCTTCTAAAGTGCTGCATTTATATAGTATGTATAAATTCAGTAACATTTGAGGAAGTTGAGGCAGGGGAAAGAGGGGCAGTGGTGTTTTTTTAAAACTGTGTACATGTATTATTTGGGATAAACATTTAGCACATTTATTAAAATACTATTTTAAGTGGAAAATTTTAAAAGCCAGGCAAAAGGAATAAATGATTGTGGCATGATTAGAAATCCTGCCGTGCTAGATTTCTTTAGGCATGATCTGCTGTTAGTCTGCTTGTGAAGTTTCAGCCTGGAAGCGAACTGAGACTCTTGCAGTCTTAATAGCCCTAATTGGATATAGTGACCAGGTCTGGCTTCTGGACATTATCTTTACTATCATTTTGGTAATTTTACTTTATCCAGTTTTGTTTAAGGAAAAAAGATTAATTTTAAGTTTCTTGAATATAACTTTTCAATGTTTAATAAATAAAATAATTATTTGACACTTTGTAGTATTTAGCATGTACCAGATACTACTGTTTTACAAATATTTTCAACTATTGTATACAACTATTAAAATGTTTTATATAAATTATATAGATTTGTCAATTCAGCATTACATTTCTCTTAGCATAAGCATCTTCCCTGATATTACTAATATGTAATGATACCTTTGAGTAATTTTCATAAATTCATCAAACATTAAGTCCATCAAATAATTCATGTAATAAAGTGGAAATTAAATTTAAAAAATTTAAAGTATCTTTTATGTTTATTTTTAATTTCAGCTGTACCAACAGGGACGCTTATGTCAACTGGGCAGTGAATTTTGTGAATTGGAAGTTTTTGCTAAAGTATTGAGAGCTTTGGATAAAAGGTAAATTCATTTTGAATCAATTGTGGTAAACTGTACATAATCTACATACTTAACTATTGTGACCTTTAAGTGTACAATTCAGTAGCACTAAGTCCATTCATATTGTTTTGATCAAGTGAAATAGACTGAATTCATTTTCCTCATTGTGGCTATTATGTAGTAGGAGTTAATATGTGGGTGTAGGTGACATGGCCTTTGTTTGTTGTTGTCTTTGGCATTCTTCCCTAAATTTGCTCTAAATACCATTTCTTTTTCCTAACCTTCATTTCTAGGAAAATAAAAATACAGTTTTACAAAATACTGCTAATCTCTAATAAGAATTTGCCAAGTTGTTTCATTTGTTCAACAAATTAACCAAGTATATATTTTTTAGAATGCATAGTCTATGTCAAATATTGTTCTAGATACTGAGGTTACAGTGGTGAATAAGTTCTACAGTGTCTCTTCTTCATGAAGTTTGTATTTTAGAAAGGGGCGATAAAATAATCAAGTAATTAGTGTGATATCACCGTTCAGGGATACTTTTGGAATGTTGGCCTGTGTACTAAGCCTAGAGAAACTTCTTGGTTCATTGACTAAGTTAAATTAATCTGTAAAAAAATAATAGATGAGAACTTCATTTTGGTAAAAGAAGCCTGCAGAAAAGCTTTTTTAAAAGAACGTTCTTTAAGAAAAAGTTAGCTTTCTGGGATTTGAATTTCTCTATTTAGTTCTAAAGATGGCCGTCATAAAGATTTAGTGGCATACCTCTCTTTCATCTCTCAGGTTATCTTTCACCAGGTCCAAATCCCTTGGTAAGTGTTTAATACATTTGTGAAACTAAAAGCATGTAGTTTGACTTCCCCCCTTGTCCAGAGCAGGGACTTCATTATTTACAATTCTGTTTAAAACAATTTTCATGTTGAGATAGTTCACATACCATAAAATTCACCATTTTAAATTGTCCAGTTCAGTATAAGTTTTTAGTGTATTCATAGGGTTTTGCAACTATTACTAATTCTAGAAAATTTTCATCACTCCAGAAAGAAACCTTGTCCCCATTAACAGTCACTCCCCATTTCCTCCTACCCTTAGTCCCTGGCCTGCCATTAATCTGCTTTCTGTCTCTGGGTTTACCTGTTACAGACATTTCATATAAATTGAATCAGAGAGTAGATGGTCTTTTGTGACTGGATTTTACTTACAGTGTTTTTGAAGTTCATTCATGTTGTTTTTTATATCAGTACTTATTTTCTTTTTATGGCTAAATAATTTTCCATTTTATGGATATACTATGTTTTGTTTAGCTAGTCATCTGTTGATGAGCATTTGAGTTGTTTCTACCTTTTGGCTATTATAAATAATACTGCTATGAACACTTAAGAGCAAGATTTTGTGTGGACATATGTTTTCAGTTATCTTGTGTGTATACATACATATATATAACTAGGGTAACCCTAGGTTTAACTTTTTGAGTAACCCCTAAATTGTTTTCCATAGCAGCTGCACCATTTTATATCCCTATTACCAGTCTTTGAGGGTTTCAACTTTTTCATATCCTTGCCTTAACTTTTTTTTTTAAAGTATTATTATAACACATCCTGGACAGTGTGAAGTGGTATCTCATTGTCAGTGTGATTTGCATTTCCCTAATGACTAATGATGTTAAAGCATCTTTTCTTTTGCTTATTGGCCTTTTGTGTATTTTCTTTGGAGAAACCTCTATTCAAATACATTGCCCATTTTTTAATTGGGTCATTGTTGAATTACATAACAATTTGGTTTTTAAAATTCATGTTTAAAGTTCATTTAATCCTTCATTGTCATCAATTTAACACATACAGGATCAGTCAGTGACCCACTAAGGAAGAGCTATTAGGCTAAATTGTGTATTACGGCCTCATAACTCATAAGGCAGAAAACTTCTTATCTTATTCCATCTTTTTATTTCTAAAAAGCAAGTTAGTGCTTTCTAAAAGGACAAAATGTGTTACTTTCATAAAAACAAAAATGACTTTTTCCTTCTCTTTCAGACATTTGCTTCATCATTGTTTCCAGGCTTTGATGGATCATGGTGTGAAAGTTGCTTCAGTCTTGGCCTACTCATTCAGTAGACGGTGCTCATATATAGCAGAGTCAGATGCTGCAGTGAAGGAAAAAGCCATTCAGGTTGGCTTTGTTTTAGGTAAGTAATGGTAAAACAGGGGTGTGTTTTGTCCTGTGACATGACTCAGAATTAAACCTGCCAGCATTAAAGGATTCTCCCAGGACATCCCTAACGTCAACATAAGGCAGTTACGAGAAAAACACCAGAGGAACTAGGTGTGATACGTTGAATATTAACTTTGTGTCAGGCATTGTGCTATACATATAAATGCTGTTTTTCTAAAAAAAATCCTCATGACATTCCAATGATGTGATGGTATTAATAGCATTTTACAAATGAGGAAACAGACTCAGAAAAGTTGAGTAACCTGCTGAAGTCACATCGTAGTGGAGCTATGTTTAGAATCCCATGGCTTTATGATTCCAGAACCAAAACTACTATATCATCCTGCTGCCAACCTCTTCATCTTGCTCTATAGTGTGACATGGGACTTAATCCTTTTGAGACCTCAGTTTTCCCATCTCTAAAATGAGGGTAATTCTGCATTTCCTTATGGGCATATTATGAGAATCCTGAAAGTATAAATGGAAAAGGATTCTGAAAAGGTTTTGTGTGCTGTGCCTATAAAAAAATATTGTTTAATGTTTGCATAACATTTTAGCATGGTTTTTACAAATCTACATAGATAAGTATGTTTTAGGCAATTATTAAAGTTATTGCTACCTTTCTTTTTATTTTGTTTTTAGAAAAATTTTTATTTTGAAATGATTGTAGATTCACAAACAATATCAAAACCAGAAAATTGATACTGGTTTAGTGCCGTTACCTAGACTACAGACCTTATCTCACTTTTCATTGGTTTTACGTATACTCATTCGTGTGTGTGTGTAACTTTTTTTTTTTTAATTTAAATGTAGTTGATACATACTACCATGTTGGTTTCGGGTGTACTGCATAGTGTTGGAATTTGCGTACATTATGGAATGATTGCCACAAATATAGTCCCCATTTCACAGTTATAACAATGTTATCGACCGTGGTCCTTATACTGTATATTACATTCCTGTGGCTTATTTTTTTCTAACTGAAAGTTCATTCCTCTTAATCCGTTTCACCTATTTCGCCCCACACCCCACCTTCTTTCTCTGGCAACCATCTGTTCTCTGTGTCTGTGAGTCTGTTTTCATTTTGTTTTGTTTGTTTGTTTGTTTTTAGGTTCCACATGTAAGTGCCGTCATATGGTATTTGTGCTTTCTCTGTCTGATTTATTTCACTTAACATGATACCCTCTAGATCCATCTGTGTTGTCACAAGTGACAAGATTTAAAATTTTTTTATGGCTAGGTAATACTCCACTGTGTATGTGTATAAATATGTTGTATAAATATGTCTTACACCTTCTTTATCCATTTGTTCATCTGTCAGTGGACATTTAGGTTGCTTCCATATCTTGGCTACTATAAACAATGCTGCAGTGAACATTGGGGTGCATGTATCTTTCTGAAGTAATGTTTTTGCTTTTTCCTGGTAAATACCCAGAAGTGAAGTTGCTGGATCATGTAGCAGTTCTATTTTTAATTTTTTGAGCAACCTCCATACTGTTTTCCATAGTGGCTGCACCAGTTTACAATCCCACCAACAGTACATGAGAGTTCCCTTTTCTCCACATCTTCACCAACACTTACTGTTTTTGGTGATAGCTGTTCTGACAGGCATGTGGTGGTATCTCATTATGGTTTTGATTTGCATTTCCCTGATGATTAGTGATGTTGAGCATCTTTTCATGTATATGTTGGCCATCTGTGTGTCTCTTTTTGGAAAAATGTCTATTCAGAGCCTCTGCCTATTTTTTAATTGGGTTCTTTGTTTTTTTTTATGTTGGTGTATGTGCTTTTCTATGCAGTTGATTCCATGATTTCTGTGCAGTCATTCCATTGGTGGCATATAACCACTAATACCATCAGGATACAGGACTGTTCCATTATCAAAGACTACCTTCCATTTTCAACTTCTCACATTAATGTGTGCATGTTTTCTCCCTCTCTCTCTTTGGTATGTGCCACATGTACTTTCTTTGCCAACAAGTTTCTTGATCATTTTCTTCAGTGTTAGAAAAAGTTTTTGTGGTAGTCATAGAGTTTGCTGGAGGAACTTAAGAATATTCCTTTCTGGAAAGAACCCTCAACATTTATCTTTTGATAGTCCCATGGAATATAAATTGCAGCAAAGAATTGTGACTAAAGAATGTCTCTTAACAATGGAATGTTTGTGATCTTGATAAGTGTTAATATTGACATCCATTTAATCCTGGATGGTCATGTAAAAATCTACGTGGGAGTTATTTAGTATCAAGGAAGATGAAAAGCAAGAAGGCTATTGTTCATTGAGATCCTCTGTTACCGCTACACTCAAACCAATCTGGCCATTGTAATGAACTAGACTGAAGAAATATCTTGGAGATAGAACCAAGTCCTAACAGACTTAGTTGTATTACCAGTCTTGATCCTAGAATTACTGAAACAGTGAAGAAACTTCATACTGTAAGTACATACTGCAGAAACTTAAAAAAAAAGACATCATTATTGAGATGTAATTCATATACCACACAATTCAAAGGTTTTTGGTGCATTCACAGAGTTGTGAAAACATCATTACAGTAAGTTTTAGTACATTGTCATCACCCTGAAAAGAACCCATACCCGTTAGCAGTGACTCTTCATTTCTTTCTAACCCCTCCAGCCCTAGGCAGCCATCAGTCTGCTTTCTGTCTCTGTAGATTTACCTATCCTGAATATTGTATATAAACGGATTCATAAAATACATGATCTTTGTAATTGGCTTATTTTATGTAACATAATGTTTTCGAGATCCAAGGTCCATCCATGTTGTAGGGGTAGAATTTAATTATAGAGTTTTTACCCAGGTATTAGAGAACTGAAGAGACAAAAAGGCAGCACTAGGGTATTATACATAGCACCTGCAAGAATCAGCTGCCACACCTAGGGCTTGAGATACCAAGGGATGGGGTTGGAATGATTAAAATCTAGAAGCTTGAGGAGGTGTCTCACAGAGCTGGGATGCTGCTCAGCTGGTACAGTGCCTCAGAGTTCTGAGAAGGGGCCTGTGGGTCTAGAATCTTGACCTCTGGGAGGGGTACCTGACTGGCTGGTGCTAGTGTCTCTGAGAGGGTGCTGTGAATCTGGTTCTGTAGGTGTTGGAAAACTGCCGCTGGAATTGGCTTACTGCCAGAGTAAAGAAGCATTACCCTGGGACAGTGCTGTCCGCAGGGGCCTTTCTGGCAGAAACCGGAAGGTATCGGGGAGCGTCCCTTACTCCTCCAGTTTTACAGCCTTTCTCTCTCTCCCCTTCCTTCGGTGGAGACTACCAGGGAGCCGGAGACTACCAGGGAGCCAGCTGGCAAAGGAGAAATGTGGTTTGGAGAGTCCTAGCCCAGCGTCGTAGAACAGTCTAGAAGGGTTAGTTTGAAGCTGAGAGACAGTAGCCTAACAGCTCACACAGTGCACATTATGCGGAGATGATGAGTAGGAGGTTGCTTAGTATGAACAGTATCATCTCATTATTCCAGTCACTGGGTGAGGGCCCCGAAATAACAAATGCCGGATTTGGGAGGGAAAAAAAGTGTTCTGAAGCACACCTCTCTCCAGTTAAAATGTTCCTTTCATTTTACATACAGCTTTTTGAGGCGGGAGGTAGATGATTAGGTTTATTTATTTAATTTTTTTAAAGGGAGGCACTGGGGATGGAACCCAGGACCTTGTGCATGCTAAGCACGCACTCTACCACTGAGCTGTACCCTCCCCCTGATTATATATAGCTTTGATTAAATGTAAAAACGAGTCTGAGCAAACTGTATTTTCCTGACTTGGATACTGTTGACACTGTAGACTACTTGACATTATCAAAAAGTGTATTAAACTGTTAGTAGGGTCAAGAGCCTCAAAAACAAATGGACAGTATTCTAAGGAAATAATGTCCAGATGCCCAGTGCATTAGGACTGTTGCAGGACAGCAGTTTTTTGTTTAAAAAAATGAGATGAGCAAGCACTACTGTGTCTTTCACCTGTGTATCTTCTATGACGTGTTGTTATGGTAAGACGATTAAGTTTATTCATATGTCTTTATCTTCTTTGGGATTGGTTATGTTTATGCTGCATGATGAAAATATTAGAATCACTAAAACATAGTGGCTAATTATCTGGAAAATGTCAATTCTTCGGACATGGAGTGTTATTAGAGGGTTAAAACTCTTGACTTCTTATTCAGAGGCTCAACTTTGATCTAATTTTTCTAGTTTGAAAGTTTTTTTTAAAATTTTAGTATCTTTGTTTTGGACTAAACACTGGATTTTAATATTACAGGTTTTTTTTTTCATTTTAGATAATATTCATTGTAAACGTGTCATTTTAGCTTTCAAGTGATTTACTAAATTAACATTTTTGGTTTTTCTTGTCCTTTAGGTGGCTTTCTTTCCGATGCAGGCTGGTACAGTGACGCTGAGAAAGTTTTTCTGTCTTGCCTTCAGTTGTGTACTCTACACGATGAGATGCTTCATTGGTTTCGTGCAGTAGAATGTTGTGTAAGGTAAGTTGAGACAGATCCTATATTCATATATATCCTATACATGCTTTAATGATATTAGTGCCTTTTATAGTTTTAGCTCTTCTCAGCGTATTTTAGCATTTGAATAAACCGCTGAGGTGACATTCATATGTCTGTTTCACTAGTCTGGCCTCCTTTCATTACCAAAATAGAGTGATCTTGCTGTAGACCTTTAGCTTATATTCGAGTGTTGTGAATCAGACTGTGTATTTTATATGTCTTTTTGCTTTGTCATAGAGCTTATTTGTTCATTCATTCAACAAATACTTATTAAATGCCTAGTATGTACCAGGAACTGTACTGGGCACTGGATGCTAAGACGGTACACTGTTTTTTTGGAGTGGTTTTTTTTTTAACCCCTGTTTACATTTCTAGAATTGTATGTAACCCAATATGTTACTTATAAATAACTTTTCTTTAAAAATACATTTTTAAACAGAGGTACCTAAAGAAAAGGCAAGCTAATCTAGAAGTAAGTCTTTGCTTTTAATGTCTTTTATTTTTTTGCACATGTAACATTTAATTTTAACTCTTTTTACATAGGTTTTCTCTCTATCTCCCCATTTCATTTGACATTTCTTAAAAAGAATTTCTTTATAAAACTAAAGGAAGATAAAAATAAATTTAAAAAAAAATCTTTGTCCTAAGTTAACTAGTCTGATCAGTTTACTGAATTAATAGTCTTCCATTTGTATTGAGTAAGGGGTCATATTTCCTTTCTATCTTAGAGATGAGTTAATTAAATCTGAACCTCTTCAGATCTAGAATATGGATTCTTCTATGTAAAACCATTGTTGATTTAAACTAAAATTGACTAAAGCTCTCTCTGCTCAGTCTTTTGAGGTTATCATTACCCTGTTTTATACAGGGCTTAACCTGTGTTAGACAGATTTTCAAATCTTGAAGTTAATTTTATAATGTGGAAACTTTATTACAAGTAATATCTTAGAAGCTTATGGTAATTTCCCATAGATATCTTATGATAAATTATTAGTAATACTCGTGTATAGAAACTATAAATGGATTGGTATCTGGGCCTATAATTTGTAGTGCTGATAAAAATAATCTGTGTCATCTTTCCTCCCCTTGTCCTACCCCTGTAGGAATAGGAGACTAGACTATCCACACGGGATTTTAGAGGCTAGTTAAATGTTTCTTTGTATGTGAATTAGTTAATTTGGAATAGAAAAGCCATTTTGTATGATTTCATTGTAGATTCCTCTTTTATAGCGGTCTTTGATAAAAAGGTAAAAATTTTTTCTTTTGTATGTGCTTGACTTTTTTTAAGTTCTTATTTTTATTTTTAAAAATTTTTATTGAAATACAGTTGATTTACAACATTTTGTTAGTTTCAGGGGTACAGCAAAGTGATTCAGTCATATACATATACATATATATATTCCTTTTCAGATTCTTTTCCATTATAGGTTATTACAAGATACTGAATATAGTTCCCTGTGCTATACAGTAGGTCCTTATTGTTTATCTATATGTGCTTGCTTCTTATGCACAGAATGAGAAGGTTTATTTCATCCAGATAAATGTTTCTCCTGTCTGTCTGATTTTAAGGCTCTGATATTAATTTTGCTTAATGTAACCAAATGATTTAGTTTCCTCACAGGACCATGGCTCCCCCCCTTTCCTATTTTTGTCATCTTTAGCACGTAGATCACGTCGTTTGCAACTGTTCACAAGGAAGGAGAGGGGCAAAAGGCTCATACCACCTGTGTCAGCTTCCCCTCCCAGTCAGAAAAAAGAGCTTTCCCAGAAGCCTAGCCCTGTCTCTTTGATTACCTCTCCTTGAAACTAGGAAACTGGGACACATTCCGCACATCCTCCAATGGTGTAAAGTGGTCTGGGGAGCAAAACAGTTTTAATCGTTCATTTTGCTGCCCCAGATGAACTCATGGGTCTACATTAAGGAAGCAGGAGAGGAGAATATTGGATAGGTAACTGTCAATACCATGACTGTTCTAGCTGCCTTCAGAACAGGCACATATGAATAGAAAGATATCCGCACCAGGAACAAAACTGTTTATAATATGGGCTTACTGCCTAGACATTTTGTTCTTAACAATTTGAAATTTCAAAGTAAGATTTGCTTTGATACAGCTGTGCTTGTCAAATTCTTGGTCATTATAGGCTTATTTAATATAATTTGTAGTATTGTATTAGTATTCCTTGAAAACGAGTAAATTTTTCTTACTTAGTTTTTAATTGAATTGGAAAAGGATTGTTTTACACAACAGATACTATTAAAATCCTTTGGCCAATCCCAAGAGCTCTGAGCTCAGTGTGAGAGTGTATTTTTAAATTTAATAGCACAAAATCAGCTTCTAATCTGGGGCTGGCATGGAAGCAGTATAGAGCAAATGTCAGAGAGTCCTTTTTTTAACCTGGTACCATTTATCAGTCCTTGTTGTATTTCTTGAAAACTTTGCCTAGTTCCATTTACTTGTTCTTTATTTAATAGCTTTGTTTTTTTTCTGCTTCTGCATATGCCTGTTGCCAAACAAATTTAAAACATGCAGAAATCTATGAAGAAGAAAATAAATATTATCTGTAACCCACTGCCCAGAAATAACCACAATTATTATATTGGCGTATTTTAGGGATTTTAAATGAGAAAAGGAATTTCCTGAACTACTTGGGGAAAACACTTGAATCTAGATTGAAAAAGAACGCTGGGTCATAGGCAGGTGAGTTTTCTGAAATCCAAAAATAAATAGAAATTAGAAGCTAGGAGACAAAAGCAATGTCTCAATTACTGAGAAAATACTACACTTCATCAACTTTTACAATAAAATTTAAAATTTTCAAATATATAGAAGTCAAATATGTCTCCATGTACTTTATCTGAGGAAAATAGTCAGGGAATTTCTCTAACCAAATAATAGTTCAATAATAACAAATCTTAAGGTAGGGGAAGATGGTGTTAGTGGTCAGCAGTGAATATTGTAACATATAGTTACATGTAAATGGAATAGAAAGAGAATGAGGAACAAATTAAATTTGTAGTATGTCTTAAGTAAGGTTTTTTTTTCAAACTGGAAATGAAAGGGAAATTTTAGAAATCACATAAAGCAGAAATTCTCAGTTACCATATACTATTAAATACAAGAATACCTCTCCCCCCAAATTATCCTTCAGTAAAGAGAGTTACCTTACAAAGTCACTCATGTTATGTGATGTTATTTCAGGTTTATTATTTGAACAACAAAGTACTATTTGGAAAGAAATGTTAGCCTGAAAACTCAGCCAGTGCCAATATCAGGAAGCTATAGAGGTAGAATTTTCTTTTTAAGGAAGTAATGGAACTTAACACATTTAGAATTATTTTGGAGGTCATAACCTTGTAGCTGTGTTAGATGTCTTTATTAACTGGCTTTCTGAATATTACGTTGAAATATGGTGCATTAGCTGGTTTGGTTGTGGAGATTATGGATGTCTGCTTATCTTGGGTAGAATGAGAAAACCCAACAGTCTTAACGCTTTGCAAATGATTGCTAGTACCTTTGTATAAAATTTCTAGTGACATCATACCAGACTCAAAAGTGCTGGTTTTCAAACAAGTGAAGCTGTTTTACTCTGAAAAACTGTTAAATGACTCAAACATTTGGTGATGATGAAGATAAATGTTTTAAGATGCATATGAATAGTTTAAATAACATTTCATAAATTGCAAGGAGGAAAAGTAATTTTTGAAAACTTAACTTAGATTTTAATATGTATTTATAACATAACATAAAGATGATTTAAATAGTGTAAGTTTTAAAATGTTATCATATGTATCCCTAAAACTTGATATATTCAAGTTGGCGAAAAAACCTTTTTGGATGGAAAATGGAGGCTCATGTTATTATATTCAGATGGCTTTATAGTCAGTATATATGATAGCCTATTTAAAAATGCACATTTGGGGAAAGTAGTGTAAGAAAGCAGTATGAAGATCTCATCTTGGTGAGTGAAGTATGACTAGCTATCATTATTTAATATTCAAACATTGTCAGTGCTAGGAGGGGTATGTAGTAAACTGGTAAATGGGAAAATATGATAGACATTCCAAGTTAGAATAGTGGAAGTAGGAGTAAGAATGATTGGAAACTTGTCCAAGCTAGATATAAGCAAGTAGAATAGAGGAAATAACTAAGTATGATAAATGAAAAATATGAAGCAATTAAAAGCAAATATAACTGTCACAACAATAAATGTAAATGGGCTCAGCTCCTCTGTCTGGAGATAGCAATTTCCAAGAGGGTTGAAAAATGAAACTTTACTATATATTTTAAAAGAAAATACCCTAAATAACAATAATAAAAGCAAATTGACACAACATTGTAAACTGCCTATACTTAAGTTAAAAAAAAAACAAAGCAGAATTCAGGATAAAAACCGTTAGTTGGTACAAAAGGGATATTAATAATAAAACGTCCAGTTCACAAAAAGATCATAAACCCATGTATAGCAGCCAAGATAGCAGCCCTCTACATAGGCAGTGCTCCCTAAAAATACAAAGAATTTGATAAAAAGGTAATCAATACCAAGTCCTGAGTACCTCCAGGGTGGCTTAATTCAGAATTCTTAGAGATTTTAAAAGAACTATGCTTTTTTCCATCTTTCTGCTCCTCTGTCCTTTGTGTGCTTGTTTTGTCTTTTCCTTGCTCCCGGGTGGTTGTAAGAATGCTACTGTGGTTGTAAGGTATCACACAGAGATTCTGCATTGTCCAGCAGAAGAAAGACTCCTTTCCCAAGTACTGTTTTACCTGTGATGAGAAGGAACCTTTTTCATAAACCACCCAGCTGACTTATCCTTGAGTCTCTTTAGCCAGAGCTAGGTCATTTGGTGACCTTTGAAATCAGTCACTGGCAATCTGAATGACTTAAACTCATTATGATTTACTTAAACTAATCATGATTTACTCATGAATCCTGTGAGAAAGGGGTCAGTGCCTAAACAAAATCAGGGTTCTGCCAACAAGCAT